TTCTACACAACATAATTCAATAAACAAGTGGGTTACATATTTTACATACAGCGCAGACTCTGATAAAGATAGTATGCAACGCAGCTCCACTGACAAAGGGGCAAGCGTGTCAGGATATTTAAGCACAAAATGGGGCCAAGGACTGAAATAGAAAAGCTGGGTAAGAAGGTCTGCTAGTTGGTGAAGTTCAAGAGCGCCGAGTTGTTTGATGGTTTGCTGCATACATTCCCAATCCAGTCCACAATCAAGGGCAGCCTGGCTCAGGTGTAGCTACTAGGACACAGAAAAACATCTAATGGGGACAGAATGACTCTTCAGTGCCCCTACAAATAAAATACAGATGAGACAGCTTCTTCCTATTGCTGTTCAGTTGTTTCCTTCTTGGCAGTAATTAACACAATTCTTTCAACAGTCATTCATCCCTGAAGCCATCTTCTTGCATGATTAGCCAGACTTGTAATAAACAAATGGCATCAGCAGGTAAATTTGCAGTCTTGAATGCTGATGAGATGTCACACAGTTACAGTTAGGCAGACTGGCCCTGGATCAGTATAAAGAGGCAATTACAGACCCCCTACTGGACTGGGGTACTGCTGAGCAAGCATCTGATATGTAACATGAGCACATAACTCCCATTCTTCTACTCATGTTTGTCACAAGCTATACCTTTGCAGACTGACTGTGTATAGCATTTGACCACATTAGATATATACAAGGATGACGTTATGATCTATTTCATCCCAAGACATTAATTGAAAAGGTTATAATGTAAATATTTCCAAAATCTTCATTATAGGGTACTTTCTACTGGGAGGTGGCTGCTCCAAACCCCTAAATTTTAACTTGTGAAAATAATAATTTTTTATCATGTTGTTTTAAAAAATACATTTTGATTTCTTTCAAATATTTAGAGTTATTATGAGTTTTCTTTTATTAAAAATGTATTTAAAAATGCAGTCCCATGTTTCACGTCACTACCGAAACATAAAGAGTTTTAGTTAATAGGCGGAGCCTAATTTAACCACACCCTGCATTTTAGAGCAGGAGGTGAGACTCCATCCCTGTCCCTCATGGCCACATAGTGAGCAGTAAGATTTCATTGTTTTGAAGTAAATGTGTCCCAAAGTCTGAAAATCAGTGTGTAACATTAAGAATTGTCACTACCGAAACACACATTTTCTACCATTAAAAAAGTCCTTGTCCCCCTGGTCTCGCCCTTTCCCAGGCACCATCTTCAGGGCCATTCCGTTACTTTATTAGCTCAAGTGATGGGTGTTAGATGAGCCCTCGGAGGGCCGAGGGGTCGAGTAAACACAAGTGTCGACTTGAGCTTACCCAGAAATCACTGCGACTTGACGTGCCTTCCTTTTCAAACCAGAAAATAATGGCAGACAAAGTTGTTTATATGTTGCTCAGCTTCCACAACTTTGATCATATGCCTGACATTGTCACTAAACTCCCTATTAGTACTACAACCTAAATCACACTGATAACAGTATCCATCATTTTAGGCACAACCTTGGAGCTGATCTGAGGACTCCACTTAGTGTCCAAAAACTTGGCTGCCTGTCAACATCCACTGACCCCAATTCCCAAGCTACAAGCTGAGTTAGCCCATGTCAGCCAGAGATGAGGAAAGCCTCATTTACTTCATGTGCAAAGAAGCTAAAAGGTGCTGAAGAGGTTTCCAGAATCTACTTGGTGAAAGGTGTCGCTCTGAGACTGAGTAAGTGAGATGCCAAATGTGGTGACTTGCTAATCATCAGCCCTTAGAGATTCCCAGCTTCTTTGGAGTCCGTAGGTCAAAAGTAAGTCACACTGCTAAAAACAGTAGTAGAAGCTATTTCGAAGCCTGAGTTTTGTTGATACTTTTGTCCAGAAAACACATGAGCAAGTCTGTTTGAGATCACTTAACAGCTTGATGCCATTTGAAGTAAGTATGATGAAGGCAAACTGTTAGCACCATGTTCATCAATGCGCTATAGGCTTCCATTACTACCTTAGCCTTGTTGCTCCAGTCCAAAACTAAAAATCAAACTTCAGACACCAAAGTTTTGTGGCTGATTGACTGAGCTTGGGCAGAGGGAATTTTTGTACATTTAATTTTTCAACCAACTATTCATTCAGCAGAAAGAAAATGGCCAAATTGGTGTTGTACTTCATTGTTAGGTATTTTCCCCGCAACCCAGAAGGATAAGCGGCTTAGAAGATGTGTGTGTGTGTGTTAGGTATTTTACACATTAATATGAAGCCTAGTCTTAGCCGAAATTTGACTTGGGCTAGTTTGACTGGATCCCTTGAAACTCAATGGATTTCACAATACTGCTAAAAATTTAGAATCCAAAAATGTGCTGTGCAAACAATACAGGAGATACTTTACAAAATGTAGTTGTTATATGTAAGTATTTTCAAAAACACTGTGAACCAATAAGCACTGAAAGTAAAGCTAGACTTCACCAACAGAAAACTGCATATCACTGTTGTACAACCTCGATGATGTTTGCCTCAGACCCAAACATTAGATTCTGACCTTAGACATGAATATTTTCAGTCAGCACTGAACTTTGAGGCTAACGTTGAGCTCTGGGTGTGATTACTATTTGCTTGAGAGACTGGTTCAGGCTAGTTTGATGCCAATGTAGTCCAGCAAGCCTTGTAGCTTGTAGAAATGATTTGGGTCAGATTCATCTGTGTTATTCTTTATGACACGAAATATAATAATACTCAAGGATGATAATGGAATTTCTAGTGGAATCTTATAGTAATTTGAGACAATGACTGTAGTTTACTATGGGGCACTGCATAAATTCAATAGATTACTATAAAAGGGATACTATTCTAATAATATAGATTGTAGATTACAGTAACATATAATTTCTATTATGTTACTACAACAGCTTTATAAGGTATGTATAAAGGGTCACAAAACAATGACTGCAAGTCTCGAATAAGTTCCTATGTCCTCACCAGGACATGCAGCTTGAAACATGTGACTGCTGAGCAAGGTTTCTTTTAACCTTTGGTAATTCAGTGACATAACAACAAGAATAAATATCCCTGACCTTTACAGGATATCAGCAGAAACGTACAACCAGAGATTTAAAGATACGTGTAAGAGCAGCCCTCACTTAGGCCCACACAAAACTGATTTAAGACAAAATCCGTACACTAATCCAGTGTGTACATGGTATGGGTTTTACTTTGATAGTTACCATAACAACAGTCCATAACAGTCTAAAACTGGAGTGACCGGAATTGATTTGTCCCCACTTAAGCTGATATAGATCTGAAGAATTGTGTAACTTGGGAAATTGGACTTCTGTATTTGTAAACATTGATTGATTAATAATTAGACTTACTTTTAGGTACTTTAAGCAGCTTCATAATCTCATGGTGGACAAAAACTGTAACCACATTTGGGGTGGTTTAATTAACCTCCACCTAAAAAGTAATTTTAATTTTAATTTAATTTAATTTAATTAAATTTAATTAATTTAATTTTGTCTATAAATGTGCTAATTCAGGTTAAAAGATCAAACGTCTATGAATTCACCTATGAACTGTTTATCTGCTTTAAAGAAGGCCTGAGGGAATCCCCTGAAGGGGAAAAAGTCTGTGGTTCTGTTCGTTTTGCATATATATGTATCAAATATGGAATGCCATTTTATTTTCAGCATTTTTTTATTTACTCGATTTTCCCATTATCCCAAATGCAGTCCATCAGCCAAGACATATTCCGTGTCTTAAGTTATTTGTTTTCTATAAAAATCGAGAAAACTATGTTGCATAGTAAGTGTGTGTCTATGTAACCCATAGAAATCAGTGCCACATCATCCTTATCAATGTGTAGAGTGACCTCTGCTGGAGAAACAGGATACACATTATAAGCTATAAGCTTCCATTGCTTGTTAGCTACATTAGCCTCGTAACTTCAGTGCATGACAACTTCAGGCACTAAACAGGTCTCAGCTGACCAGCTACACTGAAGTAATTTGGAAAACTGCAGAAATGTGATTTTTGGCCAAACCATCACTTTAAGGCCTTAAACATTTAATATAATACCTAGATATTATTACCTAAGTTGTGCTTCCTAACAGTCAGCAGTAAATTTTCCCCAAAAGAAAAATGTCTTCATTAACAGAGACATTCCACCTAACTTTTAAAATGAATTGGAATTTCAGTTGCTAGCCTGGCCTTCTTGTTCAACATCAGTGCCTGACCTCATATATGCTCATTTGACTAAATGGGCACAAATTCCAACAGACACACTCCAAAGTTTTGTTGAAAGCCTTCCCAGAACAGTGGGGGCTGTTATAGTCACAAAGTCCATATTAAAGCTCATGGTTTTAGAATGGGATGTTGAACGAGCTCATACAGGTGTGATGGTCAGGTGTCTGCATACTTTTGGCCACATAGCAGTTCTCCACCACAACAAGATTAAAAAACATTTTAGGCCAAAAGTCTCTCTCAAAACTATCGGCAAAATGTCTCGGGCATCAGACAGCGCAGTCTTAACCATTAGTGTGAAAACTTTCTGTGTGAAACATAAGTATTAATGTAAAATCACTGAATTCTGAGCGATTCTTAGAATTTCACTGCAATAAGACAAAAATCTCATTCTAAGCTATTCTTACGTAAATATTATTCAGAAAATTCCAGGGTGAGATGAGCCAGGCATCAGTGGATTGTTTCTCAGGTGCAGAATTTCAACAATAGGAGAAAATTGCTAAAGTTTCATTCTGATTAAAAAAGGGCTTTAACTATGTCTAGGAGAAGTAAAGGAGATCCAACATTTAATTTCTCTGGGGTGTTCTCTAAAAAGCTTTAGTTCTGTACTAGATTTAATCTCTGTCGAAGTGTGTGTCTATGTAACCCATATAAATCAGTGCCACATCATCCTTATCAATGTATAGAGTGGCCTCTACTGGAGAAACAGGATAGTTTCCTCATTAGTGCTGCTCGTGAAAACACGCTCGACCCTTTTTGGCCAGAAGGTAAATAATTTAGCAAGGGAACAAGATAAAGGATGAAAACAGGTCAAAATCAATAAAAGCGTTTAAAAACAGCACACAAGCAAACAAGGAATGTCCAGAGTGAAGTGAAAATACTTTCACAAACCTTTATTCATAGAACATTCCAGCTGCAAATTGTTTAAAAAAGTTATAAATAGCTTTCACAGTATAATTCCAGTAGATACAAATGAAATAAAACACATTTAAAATGAAAAAGAGAGACAATCCAGTTATACAGGCTGTAATTGAGGTTTAAATTAATCTTTGTGTGGATTCACATGTACACCATCAGAAGTCTGAACACGCCATGGTTTACATGGTTTGTTGATTTTTTAAAGTGAAAATTGAAAAAGTTAACATAGTGAACAATAGTTCAGCAAATAAACAGTAATTGTGCATTAAAATGTGCAGAAGTGTGTTCTCTGTAGAGGATGCATTAATTATTTCACTGAGAAAATCTATAAAGCAAGTAATCTGACCAGGGCCGCCCAAACTTTGGCATACAACTGTATACTGTGCTAAGGCACATGATGATAAATGAAAGAGAAGTAACTTCAGTTCAGTTAGCACCCGACACTTTTCATTCACACATCCATGATTAAAAGTGCCAAGTTTGGGCGTCCCTGGTCAAACAGCGCGTGTAAACAAGTTCATCTCCTCTACAGAGAACACACGTTTTAACGCACAAGTTACAAACTGTTTATTTGCTAAACTGGAAAAAAATAAAAGCATATAATGTGGACTGTGCAAAAATTTTACTATTTTTAATTTTATATTATTTTTTCTAAAACGTTGAACTCAATAACGACAAATAAACAGAAACTGTGCACGGAAGTCTGCAGAAAAATATATAAATTTCCCTGTAGAGGACGTGTTAACTTACTTTCACTTAGAAAATCAATAAAACATGTACTTGGACAGGTGGTGTTCCAAACTTTTTGCAACTGTGAAGATATCACAACATACAGTTTGTTAATCATTATGAATACTGATCTTTACAAAAGGCTACAATATGCAAATGAGCCTTCTAACCAAGCACAACATTTTTACTGTGGGAAGTGAGCATTTTGACCAATCACAGTTCCAGAGTCTTGTTTCTGTGGGTGTTCAGATGAATCAACATATTCAAAGTACGAAACACAACAACAGTGAATTATTTTGGTCAACATAATGCAGGACAATCTTTATCAATGACACTGATTGACCCGTGCATTTTTGTTGCAAGGCGTATCACAATCACAATATACAGCAATATAATCCCAATACTAGTATTTTGTCCAGATTGTACAGCCCTGTGCAGCTGGAGTATGCGAGTATGATAGAGGAGGAAAAGTGATATGTGCAGGACTGTTTGCGCCAAATCACGGTAAGCAAAATGGCAAGTTACAGCAGGATGAAAGATGCCCAGACATTCCTAAGAAGCTGGCAGGTAATGATGCCCTTTTATATTAATCAGAGGTCAGTCCTCTTGTTTCTCATACATGGTTGGGGAATACTGTCCACAGATCAGTGTAAAAGACAACTAGACAACCTACCGAGCAACTAGCCTTGACCTATCACCTAGATCTTTTACAGTTCCTCATGTGCAACAGTCAGGCTTCTTCTTCCTCCCCTCTTCCTCATAGTCTTCCAAACACACAGTAGGCGACTTGACCCGTGCCTGTTTTTGGATGATGGATGGCAGGACCAGCTCAAAAAGTGTCTCAAACAGCGAGTCCACATTGTAGCCTGTCTTGGCACTCGTCTCAAAGCACATCTTCTCCGCTAAAGGGCTGGTGCCTTCGTCCAGGGTTTTGTAGAGGATTATGCGGTTATACAGTGCCATGGCGTCCTCCCGGTGAACCTGCTTGTGAATGGTAGGGGTGTGTGGAGGGGTTGGGCAAGAAGGGGCAGCTGAAATGCCAGATTCCTCCGGCCCAACATCCTCAGGGGTTACGACCTGGGCGTACGAGTCTGTGAGGTCAGCCTTGTTGCCCACCACAGCGAAGAGGCAGTCACTGTTGGCAGAGTCTGTAAGAGAAAGGAAGCGTTCCTCCAGCTGCAAGAGGCTCTGCCAGTTGGTGACGTCGTAGGTGAGAATGATGGCGGCTGCACCGCGGCAGTACATGGAGCCTAAGCCGTGGAACTGCTCACGACCTATGAAGGAGCAAAAACTGGGAGTCAAAATGGGTTGAATTGTACACTTGGTGTGCTGCATATGGAGCCCCCATGAGCCAAGGGTCCAACAAAAATACAAAGTAGATACATGTGTCCAAAAGCGTCTAGAAACCCCTTTTAACTAGAGACAGCAAATTTAAGGCGCACCCACTGCTGACATGGGCATTCACATACACCTGTATACTTTCCATAGAAAAGCATCACCTGTACAATGACCCTAAGGTCACCATACCCAATGCCAAACGTCAGACTTAGGGGTATAAAGCCCCCCAACACTGGTCTGTGTAGCAGTGGATCTGTGTTCTTTGGAGTGATTGAGCTCCATCCAATATCTTTGGGATGAGTTAGAGTGGAGTTTGGGATCAAGAACTGATCATCCAACACCAGTACTTGACCTCACTAATGCTCTTGTGACTGAATTCAACCAAATCCTCACAGCATGTCCCAACATCTAGCTTAAAGCATTCCCAGAAGAGTAGAGGCTGTAACTGCAACAAAGAGGTACAAACTCCCCATTAATAGCCTTTTCTGAAGAAATACTGGCTGTGGTTACATCTAATGTCAAATAATATAAAACATATCAGAATGCCAGTTATTTACTGCAGTACTGGCAACACATCACTCTCCAAAAATGGCCAACGTAAAGACAAAATCCAGCAGAAAATTCAGGCTTCAAGACAGCTGCTACTACTATTTTACCTATGCAAAGTACTTTTGTCCACTGATGACCTTAAACTTGGAATTTTGTCCATTTATATAGATAATAGCAGTGGTCACCAACACTGTACCTGCAGATCTAACTTCCAGACTTTAGCTCCAACCCTAATCAACCCCACATGACCTATATAATTATTGCCTTCAGATGTCCTTCATTAGCTGAATGAGGTGTGTTAGTCTTGGGTTGAAGTGCAGAAAAGTAGATCTACAGGAAGGTGGGCTGGTTACCACAGTCATATGGTGTTGTAAACCAAATAAACAAAGCCTATTTACCACATAAACAAGTCTAAAAATCATCATATCGCAGAAGTAGAAGTTAGAAATGAAACACTTGGCTGACTGACTACATTTGGTCTAAGGGACGAACCATGTAGATGTATTTTTAGCTGAACCCCTGCTTCGATACTGTGTGTAAAAAAAGGATCTGATTCTGTACACACTCACTCAATTTCATTCTCTTCATGACTTGATCACTGATAGCAGCAACTGGCCTGACATACTTACTGGCCTCGCTTATAATCCCAACTGTTCGATATCTCCAGCAGCTTCCAGCAGAGAACTAACCAGCATTTTAGTACCAAGTAGCCCAAATCTGGTTATTCATTTAATTAAACTGAAGGAAAGACAGAAGTAGTCCTTTTTTAGGTTTTTATCATGATTAACAAAACCAATATGACTCACAATCACTACAGTAGATAAGACAGAAGAATATAAAAGAAAGTGGAATGTTTTACACTGAAGACATTTAAAAACTACAGTTTGGGAAAATCAATGAACTCCTGATCAGGGCACAAGCAGGGCAGTGTCTCAAGACAGCTGGGTGCTGTGATCAGATACCAAAGCCATGCAGTATCAGCTGAGCTGTACAGTCTGAGTCACGCATTCACTGAAATGCCCACGGCAACCACAGTAATGCTCAAATCAGATTTCTTTATTTCTAATTCAGTGATACTTTTACTCCTTACTAACAGGAACAGTTACTCTGAGAAGCAATCAGCAGCAAGCAATGAACTGCACGTTCCTACACCTCAAGCAAAGCTCCTCTGCTAAAAAGGAAATACAGAGATACATATCTAAAATTACATATGATCCCAAGAACACCATATCTACAGTAAAGCATGGAGGTGGGTGCATCATGATTATGGGGCTGCTTCTCTGCAAACCATACTGTGGCGTTACACGTCAATGAAAGATACATGAACGGAATGATGTATTGGAACATATTAGAGTGAAGAAGCCAAGAAACTGAATCTGGGAGAAGATTCAACAGTGACTCCAAATGTACAGCAAAATAACACAAGACTGGTTTCTAAAAAAGAAAGTAATGGCCTACACAATGTTCTGACTCAAATCCTAAAGAAAATGTATTGAGGGTTTGAATTTGTGGGTCCAACAGAGGGACACTTGTAACCTTGGGGAACTGAAGAATGGGCAAAAACTGAACCACAATGTGGCAAAAAAGCTAGACATCTAGAAGCTGTAACTGCCAACAACAGCTTTGCAACAAATACAAATGTTATTAATGTGGTGTTAATACTTTTTTCCTTCCAATTTCATTCTTAAACATATAGTTGATTATGCTTATGAATAAATAAGTTTAGTCCATATTCGCGAGTACAAAATCGAAGGACATTGTGTGTAAATTTGACACGGATAAATGCACTGAAGGTACATTAAATAACAAAAAGAGTCAGAATACGTTTTAAAATATATTTCAAGACACTTTTCTCAAGCCAGTAATCACTGATTTGGTGTCAACACTGTACTGTTAGCTATGACAAAAGGACAAAAGCACATTATAGAGCTGAAAACCTGAATTTTATAGATGACAGTTTGTTGTAGCTGCAGCTCAAAACTAAAGAAGCAGACTTGGGACATTAAGTTTGCTTCATCTTAACTGATAAACTATATTTGGGTTAAAGGTGAAATTGATTTTCTTTAACTTGCTTTAACAGGAAGTGCCCCCTTTCATGAGACGTCACCACCCATGATGCAACATATTAGGAACAACTTTATTTAGCACACTTTTGGAGCTCTTTGGCAGTCTCATTTCAGTGTTGTAAAACCAGTCCTACATGTGGCCTACTGTTGTTTTAAAAGGGGTTAATAGTGCTAGATTGGTGTATTTTTATTTGCAACTATTCAGTGGCTTATTTACATCAACTGGCTCAACTTATCCCACTCATAGGTTCGACTTACTCCTCATAAGCTGTGACAAAAGTCTTTTTTTCAAATCTACTTAATCAGAGCTGCCCAAACTTATTAATTAATTCTAATTTTCCTTTCAAATGTTTAATTTGTAAGCATTTTTGTGAGAAAACAATATAAGTATTAATTAAAAGCTCAATTTGAAACCTACCTACCTTCTTTAGTTCTTTACTGTTTTTTTCTTTTGAGCTATGTTTGGGTCTTGGTTGCCGTCTATGCCCAGCACTGTAAGGTATTATTTAATATCAGCGTGCAAAAAAATTCAATCAGAAAGTGACTAATGAAATGAAAAAAAAGCAAAATTGCTCAACTTGCCCGGTTCACTCTCTTGTGTTTTGTGAAAATACAGTTTTTCAGTCAACTAATTGGATACGTGGACAATAACCTGTTTTAACACTGGACACATGAAAGTGTAAGTCCCTGACCTTTATATTTCCAACATTTCACAAGCTGCTAACTCATGGCTTTTCACAGCCATACAGTAAGAAGGAAAGTTGTCTGGTGAAAGATGAGATTTTCCCTGTTCTTGTTTTCTCAAGACCCTGTAAAGAAAAGTGGCTGAGGAAAGCATAAACGAGGACACAGGCAGTGAACCTGTGCTCAAATTCAAGATCAGCACTAAATCAGCCCTAAATGACTCCTCACACAGTTACAAAGTAGTTCTGACTTCTCTTTAAAAGGAGCGTAAACCATATTTAGACTATTTTCTTCTTATGTATTCGATCAGCCATGTTCAGTGCACAACGTTTGAGTATTTTTGCACTGGAGCTACAAGGCTAATATTGGTAGGTAGATTTTGGGTGACCAAACTAAAGGGGAATTCCACCGATTTCTCTAAAGTTCTCCATAATTCAGTTGTTAGGATAGAAATTCGGAGTGATTTGATGTGAAATAGGTCTAATTCAATTGTGGAGAAACTTACCAACACAACATAAGTTTTCTCTGGGGACTATTTTGCCTTAGAACACCTTTCATGTATCCTTCCACCATGAATGGAGTACAGTGGAAATGCATTGGTTAAAAACACACTTTAGACCAAAACTTTATCACACAACTGCCGTGAAATCAGTTTCTCAGACCTCAGGCAACACATTCAAAACCATTTCATGTAATTATTTCTGGGTGAGGGAGCTTCTAGAGGTGGACGTCTGGTTCCCATCACCACCACTGTGAACAATACTGACACTAAGTTTATCTAGAACAGAGAATTTCACACCAAACCACTCTGAATGGCTTTGTTGACATGTTGGCATTTAATTTTTCAGATTTTGAAAATCAGTGGAGTTCCCCTTTATTGTTTAGCTACATTAAATAAGTAAACTTCAGACACCAAACATGTCTTGGCTGATGGACAATATAAAGGTAAGAAGAAAACTGAATTTGCCTTTTCAGTGAAATACTCATTTAAGCCACTGGTCATCTAAAGAGCCTGAAGTAGCATAAAGGAACTCCTTTTATGTGAGCTCTAAGCCTAATGCTGGGGTCATTTGATTTGAAGGGGAATCACGTGTAGAAGACCACCAAGATGTCTGAGAATGCTCTGGAAATGAGCCAATGCTCTATAGATATTCATGTTATGCTCTTATTTTGAAGTGTTTGGTGGGCTTTTTTGAAAGTGGCACTCGAACGGCGGTCGTACAAACCCAAAACAAAACGCTACCCAGAAGAACTGCATGCTGTAACTTTAGTAGCGCCTTCTCGACTCAGCTGCTTATTCGTGTTTTCTGTTCCACCTTAAACAGTGCAGGAGGTCCGTTCCTGTCTCTGTACAGGCGCCAGTGTAGCTACCTTTTAAGGTGGAACGGAAAATTCGAGTAAGAAGTCAATTTCAGCCTCGTTAAAAAAGTTAGCAAACATCTCGAAAACGTCTCAACTGTGGACGTAACTGTTACCTGCGGTGTCCCAGATAGAGATGTTGTAGGGACCCCACTGCTTCAGGAAGAAAGCTCCTCCGACTGTGCTCAGAGTGTCTTTAAAGCTCCTCTCGGTGTACCTGTGCAGCAGAGACGTCTTCCCCACGTTCATGTCGCCCAAGATGACCATTTTAATGTCGGGTTTTCTCATTTTCCTCGCTGCAGGCATCGTAAATGTGTGAATGGAGCTGGTGTAAGGCTGCGGTTACAGTCTCAGTCTGTAGGCTGACTCCCTCTGTAATCCCTCCTTTCTCTAAAAGGCGAGTGGTGGGAGTTCAGAGATGAGAGTTCCCGCTTTGGTGGCTTAACCTATCCACTTTGCCTGTCTATCAGGTGGTCTCCGCTTTTGGCACGTATTGTAGGAAAACAACAAAGCTGAGAGTCTCATAAGAGCTGCTCACGGGCTGCACTGAGACAGACGCGCTGCTTCTCCACAGCAGCCGCAGAGGTTTATCCCAGACTCGGTGGGAAGTTGGTGATTTTGAAGAAATGACACGGGGAACTCACGAGGCGGACTGCACGCCCGCTGAAAAAACAAAAATTACGCCATCTGGCATGTGTCCGTGACGTCACACCGCGAATTTCTCACACATGACGAAGCACATTTTTTCTAGGTGATGAAAATCCAAGCGGTGGGGAATGAGCTTTTATGGCAAAACAGAAAACCATTATTTAAACACACTTAAACAAATCCTGTGTTAAAAGTGTGACCCCAGAGGAAAGAAATATTCTAAATGAGGTCCAGTTTGAAGTCAGAGTGAGACTTGAGACATTTTCTCCTGTTTCTGATATTTGGCTCCTGAGAAATAATAACCCTCAGATTTTCTCACTTTGATCAAAATGTTGTCGCACATGTGGTTTAACTCTTGTGTCTAACTCATCTCACCCCAGTCTCTGAGTAATATTTCCATAAGTGTAAGATCTCTTCATTTTCTTATAGGCCTCTATTCTGTTACAGAACTCTTTCAGCACTCCATCATTGTAGGAGAACTTGTGTTTTTATCACTCATCAGCAGAACTTCTCACATCCGGCACTCTTTATTCTTCTCCCTTTAAAAAAAAAAAAAACCTCCACATGGAAAACTCAAAACCTTCCCCTTTTTTATAAATTTCTATGTTGTATGCACTGTTAAAAGTTTCAAAATGTGCCCAATCCACACCGCTCACATATAAAACCAGCCCGTTTGGAATTCACTGTTCTTGTGATGTCACAAACTACAATGTACAGGGTGATTCAAAAAGATTAATCCGATTTCAAAGCGCCATATTTTTACAACCGTGAGGCGCCTAAGAACCAATCACATAACAACTGAAAGAGGGGGTCATAGAGTTTCTGACTGTCACCAGTACATGGCTCCCTTCAGTCTACAAAAGTGTTTTGCGTTCTCCACTTCAATAAGAGTGAATCCGTCATAACTGTGCAACGTGATTTTCGTCAGCAGTGAACCTCCAACAGCTCAGAGCATTCGTCGTTGGTTCCACAACACTGGATGATCTCCGAAATCGCATTGAAAAAGCCATGAGCACAGCGACACCCGACATGCTCAATCGAGTATGGGATGAATTTGACTACGGTGTTGATGTGGCCCGTACAGCTGGAGGAGGTTCATATTGAGCACTTGTAAAATTACATAATAAACTTTATGCTCACTTAAACTGTTTACAATATACTGCATTGTTCTGTAATGATTTACAAGTGAAATAAATCATTTTAAAATCGGATGAATCTTTTTGAATCACCCTGTATTCTCATATAAGGAGCAGTTTCAACTCCATTTATTAGCAGCACGTTTCCTTGTATGACACGGCTCAGTCATTTCATATCACAACAAACACTACTTGGTAAACCATGGCAAGTCTTGGCAAAGTGTGGTAAAACCGAAATGTGCTTTCTGAATCCACAAGTGACCGTTCATCTTCAAAAAGAACAGCTATAACAAACTAGCTACGTAAAGAGGCAAGCACAGGTAAATGGAGCACACTGATCTATCCGCCTATTCAGCCTACAACACTTTAGCTCCGCCCATTAATGTTGAAGTTATAAGGAGTGTTTAGGCCTGGGGCTGCATTCTGCTGATCTAGGATCAGATTCCTCCCTTATTTACTATGACTTTACTGACAGGAACAGATCCTAGATCAGCACTCCTACTGTGAAAAGATTCATGAATATTGGCCCAGGACTGCTTTTTCACTCAGGCACAATACAGGGTAGCCAATCAGAACAGAGCTCATTTACATATATGTTTTAAAAGCACAGCAACAAAACCAACCTGTTTTATTCTAAGGCATGAGCAGTGGTAGGAATGTGGTCATGTAAGTTTTATACAAAACTATTTTAAATTACACAGCTGACCTAAAAAAAGGGAAAAAAGATGTGGGCCCTTTAACGTTGAGACAATGACTTGATCATGAGATATCAGTCAGTCAGACCACAAAACAATAGAATAAGAGTTTTTTCTGATACTGAGGCTTTGTGATGACAATGCCTTTTGTTTTTGTGGGCCATGTGTGCGCAGTATATTTATTACATCTGGTCATTTCAAGTGAAATAATTCAATATGGCTGCTATTTATAGAGCATAACAGCAAGTGCTGCTATTAGAGATGAGGCATTGATCATTTTGAGTTACAGAAATATGTTACATTCACTTTTGGCAAATTACAGCGATCATCATCACGAACGACAATTCAAGAGTCTCTCAGAGGTTGAGTGCACTGAGATCGCAAAGTGCTTTTTCTGCCAATGCAAAGTTGGCACTCAGACTAAAAATACAGCTGAACAAAAATTGATGATCTATGGTCTTGATTGGTAACAGTGACATGGACTGCAGTCCCATTATGGTCCACACTAGGCTGAAGATTCTAACTTTTCTTGTCTTTAGTCTCCTTCTGTTGCTGTGTGATCTCCCATGTGGAGGTGGTTCCTCTGTCCTGAAAGCAGAACACAAATAATTCAAAATTCAAAAATAAAATGAAAATTTCTAACATAATGATCAAACATGATGATTAAATAAAAGATGTATGCATTTCCACACATTGGAAAGTATACATAAGACAGCACCTAAGACGTTGGAAAAGCAGAGGCCTTTAACTGAACCCTCTGAACCTTAAGACACAAATAATAAACAGGTGTCTGATAAGCACCAAGGGAGGTGCTGGGTACCAGAGACGCAGCTTGCCCTTTTTAATGATTTAGATAAGAGACAACTAGACCTTTTTAAATGGGTTGAATTTAATTAGGTCCAAAACAGTGATAAATCTTTGGTTTAATGATAGGCAAAACAGGCTATGACACAGCAAAAGAGAAACAGAGGGGATCACCTAATCTCTGAAAAGTGTATAAAACATGGAACTCTGTACATTTTATCTGCATTTGGGTCCAGAGCCTAATGCCCAGGCTGAATGCACTTTGCCGGTAATAAAAACTGATGCCTTTTTTCTCCAACTGAACCCAGCGTCTGACGTCTTCTTTGAAAACCTGAGATAGAATACTTGCTAGACGTAGGTGATATGTAAGACTTATAGATAAAGTTATCTGTTCAACAAATAGTCTCGCTTGGGTGATTGGTGTCACATTACGACACTAAATAGGCTTGTGTCTATCATCTTTAAAGGAATATATTGGTGCTTTTCAGCCTAATCTCTACCTGCAGCATCTGTATCGTAAAATATTTTATAAAAAATCCTCCCTCTGGACAGCTAATCCCATCTCAAACTTTTACAAATTAAAAAAAATCTTCTGACTGAAGAACTTGTGAAAATGTTCTACAAAAATAGATGTTTCACTTCTTCTGGCTATATTCTGCATCTAGCCAAATGACCGTTGGTTCTGTGTGCATGGATTTTCTGTACTTTCTGTACAGGGAAACATGTCGAAATGATAATTATTGCTAATCGATGGTATGATACAGATGCTGGAGACAAAAAAATGAAGTTGAAAAACACTGGAGTGTTCCTTTATCATTATAGAGTACATCCGAGTATTCTAGATAAACCATTACTACAAAGAAAAGTAAATCAAATCCTAGTTTGCAGACCATAAAACACATTGAAAGTGGCTCTTTTAGGAGAAAATGCGTGGCAGAGGACATGCCTTAGGGGAACAAAACATGTATATGCCTCTTGACTTGACTAAATCACATATACATGTTTTACACATATGTGATTTAAAAGTTAGAATAGCCCTGAAAAGCCCTGAATTCCAGAACATTTAGTGCAGGGGTGATAAACTCCAGTACTGGAGGGCCAGCATCCTGCACAGTGACCCATTTAAAATGGTTCAACACTTATTTTCACTACCTATATAACACCCTTTCTTACAATCATATTCTTTTATATGTAAATCTTTAAAAAGCCACATGACACTTCACTTGATTTTAAAAACTAGAACTAGGTGTGTAAACTGTGGCAAAGTTGGTTGGCAGTAGGCTTAAATCTGTTCTTACTTACTCCCAAAAAAGGAAATCTTACCTTAATCTGTACTCCTAAGGGCACAAGATCCTTCCGTAGGGCATCACAGGCCTTCAGTAAGGGTACTCTGTCTGGATGAGGCTTCTTTCTTGGGGCCTGGACGCTGTTCTGAAGGTTCTGAGTGGCTTGGTCCTCCACAGAAAGAGCAAAGTTTCGAACCTCGCTGCGGAAACGCACCAGCTGCTCCACCACATTATGAAGAACACCGGATAAGTCATCGTGGGACTCCTACGAGAGAGGATAATATGCCATGCAAAGTAAAGACTAAAGCAACATATAGTTTGGCTAGAAAAAATGTGCATAAATGGACAAACATACTCAAATTCCCCCAAATGTAGTCAATCAGCCATGACTTGTTTGGTGTCTGATATTTGCCTCTTTAGTTTCACGTTGGCACTAAAAGGCTAATGTAGCTAACAAGTAATGAAAGTACATCAGTTATCATCATGCAAATTGCATGCTTAAACCATCATAGAGCCTGTTTACAGTTTGCATCTGAATCGTATCTGGATAAACTTTGGTCAGATTCCAAATACACTAAAATATGTCCCCAGTGTAAACAGATCTGATTGTGGTTGTCCCATGTAAAAAGTATGTCAACACGTACGTTTCCATTTTGCTTTTGTTTACACTCGTGTTAAACGTGGTCAAGCTGCGTCTCCTGTTTTTCCTTACAACGGCCTGCACGTATCTCTCCACCATGAAATTGAATTTCGAAAAATGCATTTCAGGCAAAAAACATCTCAAAACTACTATGAATGTCTCAGACACCAGACAACATATTCACAACCATATAATAGCTTTCCGTGAGGTAGCTCTTAGAGGCTTTAAACTTCACACACATCTGGTTCTCAATTTTAACCCACTAAGTGTCTCTAAAACAGAGCATTTCACATCAAACCACTCTGACTCAATTTGTTTACATCGTAATGACTGAACTATGCAGACACTGCTAGACAAGTAATGGACAAAATCAATCAACATGAGCACATCCCACTGCTGCGTCTACATGCTGTCCTCTGCCGTAGACAGTAAATAAAAACACCAGTTTTTATTGACCTTTCTGTCCAAGAGATCAACTCCAAGAACGTCCATGATATCTCTGATGTAAGTCAGCATTGCTCCAAAAACTGCTGGACTCCTAGAGGCTCCGTCAGCCTTAACACATAAGAAAGAAGACACATTCGATTGAATACTGTTCACCACTATTGGAAAAAAAAAATACTGTTTGGGGAAAAAAAGATCATGTTTTGACCAAGTAAACGGATTCTTCTCAATTAAACTGTTAAAACAAGAGTTAAGTATATGCATAATCTCTAAGGGGGCACTTGGCTAGAATGAAAAATGTACATATTGCAGTTGTAAACACACTTACTTGCATGATACAATGGCGCTGCAGTTTTCTCTAGAGCTTTTTATAATGCATGTTAAAGCAAGGAGGAGCTTTTAAGAAACTACATACTACAGTATGACGTATTTGCGTAATGCATGCTGGGCACTGTAGTGAGAGAACATTGAAGGACGAAAACACAAAAAGGACACAAAGTCATAAATTCTGTAAAAGAGATGAGGCTGATATTATATTATAGGCTTAAATTATACAATATAACACGACAAATAACATGTTAAATGCTAGTTTTAGGCCAGAATGCCTAACTTTAATAATGTGATGTAATCTGAGACTGATACCAAATTGCTGCACAGTTTAAAATGAAAATCAATGCTTTTTAATACCTTTTTAAGACCTCAGCATAACAAAAATAATATCATTGAGGCTGCACAATCCTTGCATAGACGTTTCAGTGTCTGATTTGTCCTGCAGTCCTTCATCAGCGATCAGTTTAGACCAGAAAACCACTGTCGGCAGGGTATTTTTGGTTGGCGAACTATTCGCTTTTTTCTTTTTTTGCACCCTGATCTGATCCAAGTCATTTAATATCGAGTATCTGCCTAGACCGATCCACTATCCGCTATCTGTGTTTTCACAGATAATGTGGCTAAACAATTTAGGTAAGATTTAGGTAAGATTGTGCTCTGCCAAATAATCCTACAACAGAAACTTTTTATTTTCGTGTGAGCACAATGTGATATTCTAAAGTGATATGTTTGTTTTTTAGCCTACTTTTCAAAATGAACATTTTGTAATGTGTTTAGTATTGGCTTATGATCAAATCAGAGTGACAGATATGATGATTGGGCAGCCAGTTCCTTTAATATTCTGCAGTGAATTCACTTCAGTTTTGATATGTGCACAGTATTACAGATTCAAAACTAATAGTTTTAGTTTGGACTCTTTATGTGAAATAAGCATCTTATACGGTGATAACGATTTCATATGGTTCTAATGCGCACACAGTAGCTGCTCCCATTTTATGACCTTAAATGTTCAGTATCTATTTTAAGACTTTATAAGACTTTAAATTTTAAAATTTTAAAAGGTGTAAATCAGGCTGAAGTAAGTTTGTATGAACCATTTGTAAAGCATGCACTGCAGGATGTCAGCAGGACAGGTATATATATGCTGTATATGAGCTTACCTTGGTAACAGGCTGAAGCTGACAGTTGCCATGGTAAATGAGGCTCATGATCGCATCCATCGCTTTTGGTGTGTCAAAATCATCTGCTAGTGCACTTCGGACGCTGGCCTGCGTGACTGATAACCTTAACAGAACACATCAGAATGATGTGACCAAAACCAACAACAGAACTAATTCACCCTATGTCTGTACTGTGTGCAGCAGTCTATAGTGTTTATATGCAGTTACATTTTTAGGGCAGTTTCCTACCTCTCCCATAAAAAGCTCTCCTGTATGGTTTGGCACAGTAATTGACCCTGCATGTAGGCCTGGGCGTTGTGGATAAAGGCAGAGATGGCGGACAGTGTGGAACGAGCCTCGTTCATACTGGCATCGCTGTAGTCGATCGCTGGGGAGACAGAAGCAATGAGACGCTGAATGTTATTAGAAGAAAACTGACCTTGACTGTTTCATTTTAGTTCTAATTAAGAAATTATTTTCAGGACTCAGAAGAGGTGTACACTGCCTCAGCTCAACTGGTTTGTTGCTATATTTGGATTAGACTCTTAACTGAACTTGAACTTTACTCTAAAATCTTTTTGCATTGAATGGCTCTATACTTTATATTTACTTTATTAAAATAAATGATCGAACATTCAATTTTGTCACTATCAAAACAATCATAACACTCCCGAAACCTGATCAAACATTTAAGTAGTGACAATTTTCAATAATTTTAAGCATTACTCAAAAACTCTAGCCAATACATGACAAGCAAACACAGCTTTGAACAGTTGTACACACATAAAACCATCATATTTTTCATTAAAAGACGAAGTTTACTTCCGTCAGCCTTACACCAAATGACTTTTCAAGCGATTTCACTGTCGCAGACAAATTTCCAATGTTGGAATAAAATCATGAGAGTCTTGCTAGAGTTGCATTGCGTTCGCGTCATCTCGATCGTTTACTGTGAGGTGGTCAGGATGGCTGTTTTAGGTCAGTCATTTTCTCGTCTGGACGCTGCGACAAAATCAACCTGAGTTTAATGTCATCGTAAGTTTCAAGTCTTGACTCACGCAAATAGTGACGTGCCAGGGCCGCACGTAAGAGCGAGCGAGTGCACGCATATGCACTTTTTTTTTTTGCTTTGTTACAGTGTTTTTTTTTATTTTGTTTGTTTGTATTTTATGGTTTAATTCATAACACCCAAATCAACAATGAATCGCTGCATGTTTTGTTGATGTGTAAATCTTCATGTCAAATAAAAAATAAAAGTAACTGCACATTTTACAAATTCTGCCAGAGTATGCAATTCTACAGTGAACTAGGCTGAGCCCCAGATCTTTACACACCCAGCCAATGTATTTTTCCATCTATACCGAAGACTTTTGTAACTGTACACTCACTCCAAACCCGTTACCTGCAGCATGTTTCTACAAGTTAAGACTGTAATATGCACAGCAGAAGCCATACGTCAACAAAATATAAAAACGCCACCAAATTGTCTGGGCTTAAGCTCAGAGAGGAAGGAAAAGTGTTTTTCTGCTTGTAAATTTCCACCAGGTGCATGATGGGGAACAATCTTAAAAATCTAGTTGCAGTCTTGCAAAGAGTTACCCTGCAAGATTTCTAGTCTTTGCAAAATCAAAGTCTGTGACCAAAAACTGTGACATTGTCTTTAGGTGTGAGAGGGTGTCAAACTTTAGTCTTTCAAAAGTCTTTTCAAAGTCTTTTCAAAAGTCTTTTCAAAGTCTTCTAGTGTCTGTTAGCATTACTTGCAGAAAATATGTTTTTGGGAGAGACAATTCTGAATGTTGCACACTGATTTTCAGACCTAAGGACACATCTACTTCAAAACAATGGAACTCAACTGCTCAGCACGTGGCCATGCGGGACAGGGATACAGTCTCACTGTACATATTTTTTAATTTCATTTTTTAATATCTTTTAATTTTATTTTTATGGTGTGTTTTGTATTTTAAAATGAAAATAAAACTCATGATAAATCTAAACCTAAAAATTAACATGACAAGTAATCGCTAATGTGTGGATGTTAAGATACATGATTTAAAGACTGCAAAGCTTACCTGATCTGTACTTGGTCAACAGACAAAACAGTCTAAACTCATTAGCACTGTGAGACTGTAAATAATCCTACACAATGGAAAGAAAAAAAAGAGTGGGTGTGTCAATGTATGAATTTAAATGTGAGAACTATCAATTTTATCATCATTCAGTGCAAGACTAAATTATATACTTTAACCATATTAAAATTCAGTAAAAGTCTTAAGCTGGATACCAAACACGTACCAAATTTATCAATTAATTTGATAAGAAATCTTTACCTTTATTGTAATATAATTCTTCAAAGACTTAGACATCTTTTCTGAACTGCCTTTCAAATGGAGGTGGCCTGAAAACACATTCACATGAAATAAATAATTTGCATTGAACTCATTCAACAGAAAAAAAAAATCCTTTTTACCATTTTTCTTTTCTTACAAACAAAGGTTCCAGAGATATGCAGTAACACTCAAATTCCATTTTTTATCTTTACAAAGACTGCTAAACTGGTAATAAACCAATTGTTCAGTTCTATAGCAGCAATACAGACTGAACATGTACACAAAGCACTATTATGGCAAAATCCTTATTTGAAGAACAGACATAAAAAGAGATAATTAACAAACCAATAAAACAACTAAAATGCTGTGCTACAATATTTATATTAAGTTATTTTATTATTTAAATTTGTTTGTTTAAGGAACCTGACAATTGCGAACTGATGATCATACCTTACAATTTACTGTAAAATCAATCAGTAAGACTCTTTAGCTAAAACTACCACTACTATCTGTTTAGTTTTTGACAATATAAAACATGGGATTAAATCTGGATTTAGCTACTTAAAATCTGTATCTGTTACAAAATTGTCATATTGTTCAGGACCTATTTAAAGTAAGTACAAACCTCAATTCCAAAAAAGTGGGACAATATGTGAAATACAAATAAAAACAAAAAACAATTATTTGTAAATCCACTTTGTGTGTGTGACTGTATGTGAACAAAAACAGTACAAAGACAAGATATTTAATCTTACCTTATCAATTTATTGTTTTGTTTTTTGTGTAACTGTACACTCATTCCAAAACCGTTTCTACAAGTTAAGACTGTACTATGCACAGCGGAAGCCATACGTCAACAAAATATAAAAACACCAGCAAACTGTCTGGGCTTAAGCTCATCTGAAATTAACCACAGTGGAAACGTTTATTGTGGTCTGACAAGTTGATCTTTCAGATTGTTTATGGAAATAATGAGCGTGGTGTTCACCATCCAGATTGTTGCCAATGTGAAGTTCAAAAACAGAGTCTGGCATGGGCAACATACACACATATGAATGCACCACTAAAGCTAAAAGATATATATACTTTATAAATATATTTTGGAGCCACACGTGTTACAACAGCAAGGCTCTGTAATCAGACAGTGTGGGTGTTAGACTAGTCTGCCTGCAGTCAAGACCTGTCTGTCACTGAAAATGTCTGCTGCATTATGAACTGAAAAATATGGCAACAAAGGACTCATCTGAAGGCCTCGGCTGAAGACATAATGGGAAAAATGGGAAACAAAATACTGCTTTCAAAACTGGATCAGTTTGTGTCTTCAGTCCCCAAAGGATTAATAAATGTTGTTAAAATGAATGGTGATGTAACACAGTGGTAAACATGTTTCTGTTCCAAATTTTTGTCACAATTTTTGCATCAAATTTGGAGTGAGTATATGAGTTGTCACGTTCCTAAGGTAAACCCATCAAACATTGTGTTTATGTACTGTTTTCAATTTACTTAAATACAGGTTAAACTGAATTTATTAACCATTTCCCATACTTTTCCAACTTTCTTGAAATAGAGGTTTGTACTTTTTTGACATAAATACTTTGACATTAAGAGCTGCAGATATTCTGTGCACTTCAGAACTTTCAATCTCATTTCAGAAAGAAGGTTCTTCCACAGCAGCATGAACACTAAAATGAACCTACTTGGCTCCGCTGCACTGTGCAACTACAGGCTTTACCTGAGTGCAGAAAATAGTTTCCCCACTGGTCACACTTGTGGTAGGCCTCACACTGAGCTATTTCATTCTCATGATGAGGAAAGGCCAGGTCTATGCCTCCTGAGTGGATATCCAACTGGCTCCCAAACACAGAGCTACAGAAAAGAGAAGGGTCATTCCACAGCAAATCAACTGATGTAGTTGGCTTAGCTATAGATATTTCTATAAAATGATTTAGTGCAAACAAATTACAGCAGAATCTGATTTTTTTTTTTTTGGCCAAGTACAAAAATGTTCTTGATGCTTTTGTCAATATGATTTTTTAAAAAATGTGATCAGTGAACAGCACAGTGAAGTTACGATGCACTGACCACAAGAGGTCCCATTAATTTACTATAGGAAGCATTGTGTCAAACAGATTTTGATGCATGATGGGACTAGTGCTTCAAATTTGAGGGCTGCGGTGTGCTGAAAAACATGGGCATCATAAAAGCTGCTCCCTATGCAAATGATCAGGCCAATGCGATGAGTCAACACAATCAGAAGTCAGGAGGAGTCTAAAGATCCTTGTTTGTAAATACAAATGGAGCACTCAGCGTTATGAGGTCGATACCAATTGCCAACTGTCCTCTACCATGATCAGATGAACAACATCAAGTAAACTAAGACAACCTCATAACACACCGGCCTGCAGGTGACTGCTGAGATGTGAACTTTTGAATGTCTCAGTTCATAAAAATGAAAGAAGTGCTTACCTGGCAATGGTGGAGCATTCAATGTGCCAGCCAGGTCTTCCCCTTCCCCACGGAGACATCCAGTAAGGTTCCTGTGGCTTAGAGGCTTTCCACAGGGCAAAGTCCCGGGGGTCCCTTTTGTCCTTGACGCCTGAGAAACAAATGACTGATCTGAGACAAAATCGTCTAATACTGGGTTAGCATGGGCACTGGACATCTGCCACACTGCAGAGTTTAGCTCCAGCCCTAAGCTAACACACCTGGTCCAGGTAATAAAAGCCTTTAGGGACATCTAGATATTGGAGCCAAGTGTATTGGTTCTCTCCAGGGTAGTAAATCCCCAGGGACTGGGCACCCCTGACCTGACTGTTTGTACCCATACAAAACATCTACAAAAGCACTTGGCTGGATGAATATGAATGAAATACTAGTATCACAATTCATTTGCCTCATATTACCTTGCAGTATACAATGAAAGTGCCAAAACATTATGACCACCTGCCTACTATACTGTTTGTCCTCTGTGTGCCGCCAAAACAGCTCCGACCAGTCGAGGTATGGACTCCACAAGATCTCTGAAGGTGCCCTGTGGTATCTGGCACAAAGACATTAGCAGCAGATCCTTTGAGTCCTTTAAGATGCAAGGTGGAGCTGCAATGAATCGGACTTGCTGTTCCAGCACATTTCACAGATGTTCAAATGGATTGAAATCTTGGGAATTTGGAGAACACCTTGAACTCTTCGTCATGTTGCTCAAACTATTCCTGAACACTGTGCTGTCTGGCAGGGTGCACTATCCTGCTGCCTTCTGGGAATTCCATGCCATCCACGTGATGTAAAGGGAAACAAGACTTGTCGGACCAGGTGACCACCATCCGTTGGTCCAGTTTTGATGCTTGCACGTCTACTGTAGGTGTTTTCAATGGCGAACAAGGGTTAGAATGGGCACTCTAACCCAGTCTCTGGCTACATAGCAGAGTGCAACGCACTGTGTGTTGTGAGACTTTTCTCCTATAACTATCATCAAAAATATCTATGACCTCCTTTTTGGTAGATACTCACGAATGCTGACCAGGAGCACCCCACAAGCCTTGCAGGTTCAGGGAAGCTCTGACCCAGTCATCTGGCCATAACATTTTGGACTTTGTTAAAGTTCACACCTGCCCATTTCTCTCACATCCAATATGTCAAGTATGAGAACTGATTGTCCGCTTACTGTCTCATTCATAAGTGGACATAATGTTTTGGGTATTAAAGATGCATTGAATCAGTAATGTGACATGGCTTGCATTATTTTGACCAAAAGAATTTACTTTTGTTGAATTACAGGAATGTGTTGATTCATCAAAACAACCACAGGGACACTTATCTTAAACTGTGATTGGCCAGGATGCTCACAGCACATAGAAAAAAGACTTACAGGACTCACCTGCATATTGCAGCGTTGTGAGATATCAGTAAGGCCAATATAAAACAATTAACAAACAATATATTGTGTGGCTTTAGTACTTAACTGTAACATATGAAAACATATAAAATAAATAGTGTGGAAATACACTAGCATTCATAAGTTTCAAATGACTTTTTTGCATATTAATTTGTACACATAACAGGTAATACAGATATAAATACTCAGTGCTAGACAACAAAAGATACTTTTAGATGTTATAGTCAATATTACAAGCATTTTGGCAACAACAAGAAGTTTTTCAAGTAAAATAATACACTGTAGTCATCTATATATAGTATATATAGTTTCACTATACTTTTTTTGTCACTTTTAAAACACAAGGCATTATGAATATTCATGTTATTATATCTTCAGCCAGTCATTTTAGAATCTTCGTACATCTTTCTGGACATATAAAATATTACTTCTTTTAATTTTATTTTCTTTATAGCTTCATACTGATTATTTATAATTACATAAACTTGTAAAGTTCCAAGGAACTAAGACATTAGAATCTTTTGATATATTTATCTGCCACCAGACTGATTTTATATTACAATAAACATTGACTCCAACTTTTAAATGGTAGTGTATTTTCGTTATAATATAAACAGGTAAGAAACTTTGTAGACCCAAGTTTAAAACATGTGAGATATGACTGTACCTGGTGCCTCAACAGCATCTCCGAAGTTCACCAGTTTGCCATAACGACTACTAATGGATCTAGTATCAAAGTAGACATCTCCTATAAAAAAGAGCACAGATAAGATTGCACCTCTTCACTGGCCTATGGTGACAATCCATTAAACACTGAATTCATGAGATAAAACATGAAAGTGAAACTGACCTTGACCTGTGGCATAAGCATGGCCATTGCCTATGATGCGTTCAATGAAAGCTACAATCTGAGGTATGTTCTCTGTGACTCTCATGTACACAGCCGGAGGAAGTACCTAAACAATCAAAAAGCTCAGAAAACTATGGGATGCTTTAAAGCCTTCATTCATCAACATTACTGTTATATACACTAAAATTCAAACTTCTGGCATCAATGTTGCCAATAATATTTAAACTATTTAGTTGCAGATAAATGCATAAAATGTTTCGAACATTATGATTGTGAAACTGAAGTTGCAAATTATTTTTGGGAGCTGTGAAAGAAATTAGATGTGTCGAGAATGATGAACAGAGCTGTAGATTCTAAAATGACTGAAAAAGCTATATAACATAAAATAAAATAAAACCTGAAAACTGATTATCAAATCTTGGGGCAAATAATTGCTGTAATAGCAGCATATTTTAATTTCTTAATAATTTTTTAAAACTCCAGTTCTGAAAACACTGTTTTTTTCCACTTATTTTCCTTTGACTTTCTCCTTCTTTATGCAAGTGGATTATCTCATATCTGATAAATAAATGAAAGACTTCACAAACTGGCACAGTACTGTATCGAAATTAGAAGATCTTTGCTCCAAGCGATCGACAATCAGCCAATTCAACTGTTCAAATGATGTAAATAACATGAGTCACTGGGGTTGACTCAAATTTACCCTGCACTGAAAAAAATGGCTCATTTTATTGTCATGTGATTGCACACAAAGAAAATCAACACAGTTGCTTTTTTAAAAGAAGAAGTTTAATTATTACTGCTATCATGTCATACATTGTATTTATGTGCAACCACTTGACACATTTTAATAGTGTAAATTTACAGAGCCTCTTTTATTCAGTGCACAAAGTGTGAGCTTTAGGTTAAAAAAAACTGCAATAAAAATCTGCCAAAAATCGTTAACCGCCCAATCTGGCTGTAGAAATTTCAGAATTGCCCATAAAAATTCATAATTGGTGAATCCCTAATATAAACAGAAATGTGGAAAATACATGTGCATTTACAGTGTATTACACTGAAATAGGGATGTCAGACCTTGAGAGCCATCATATCTCTTTTAAACTCCTCTTCATACATTCTGGCGAGCACAAAAGGTGAGATGTTCTCCTGTGGGGCAAAACAAGAACCATTTTGCTTTAGTATGACAAAACAGACATTTCACTGTTTAAAGAAACAAAAGCTGAAGTGCACTTGCCTCAAGGCTTCTTTGTATGATCTTATCATCAATGTCAGTGATGACCATGACGTGAGTCACGTTTATGCCGAACAGCCTGGTCAGAATCCTTTGCAGAATGTCAAATCTGACATATGAGCTTGACAAGAGCAAGAAAAGAAAAGAGATCAGGCAAGAACACTGGCTGACTGACAACAGCTGTCAAAGTCCCATGAACATGTGGACATGGGCCACGCTGAAGGAGTGGTTAAACGGACACTCAGGCCAAAAAGACAAATCCATGTTTGAGATGTACACAAAGTCATTCAGAGTGGTTTGGAGTGAAATGCTCTGTTCTAGAGAAACATGCTGAGCCAGAATCGTTCACAGTGGTGGTGATAGGAACCAGAGTTTAATGCCTCTGAAAGCTCTTTTACAGAAAGTTATTACATGGTTAGATGTATGCTGCTTGATATCTAACACGTTGTTTTATGATAAAGTTTTGACTTAAAATGTATGTAAACCCATGTATTTTAATCCGTTCACTGTGGAAGGGTATGCGTAAGGCAAAACAGTCCCCAAAGAGGACTTGTTTTTGCAGAAACTTTTATTTTGTTGTTGTTTTAAAATTTTTTGTGCTTCACTGCATTTGTTTTTATTTTACCATCATCAATACATACAATACATATAAAAACTGAGAAGACATATGTTACTTCGCTGGTGGAGTAAATAAATTCTCTAAAGTCTATATTTGTGCTGTAGACATGACACCTGGCTCCTTTCACCACCACTGCAAAGAAAACAGAGTCCGTAAGTTTCTCAACAACAAACCATTTCACACCAAACCACTCTGAATAACATCTCAAGGACGAAATTATTCCTAAATTTTTGAACAACGGGTGGAATTCCCTTTTAAATGCTAGTCCAGGAAGCCCCTTAAAGTCATGTTAAACAGTTCCAAGTCAGAAAACAACAATCTTCACGGTCACTGATCTTCTGAACTAGTAATGCATCCAAACTGACTTCCAGGACTTACCATGCATGGCCAAGGTGGGCATGGTCATAAACTGTGGGTCCACAACTGTACCTACACACACAACAACACTGATATAAAGGACTCTTCTAGCGTTTTCATGTACACCACTTCAACCTGAAGGTGTCTTACCAGGTCGCTACTCCTTCTTTAGCCAGAACCAACGGCTCCTTCTGTTTGGTGAGGCTGTTGTATGTCTTTAAGCCAGTGTCATAACCTGCTGGTCTGATCCATCTGCTCCCTGATTCAGAGCACACTGCTCGAGTTGAAACCAACGAGGCTGTATTTCTGACTAGTGTCAAAAAGGGCCTCATTGTTACCTAAAAGTGGCTGTGATAAAACAAATCATTTGCACTGTGTCTTATGTGTTGTCTAAGTCTCATCACTTCGAAATGCCTAGCTAGGTTAGCTTTAATGACTGTTTATAGGACGAGGAGCCGCATGTGGTGACGGAGAGCGAAAGTCCTCTTCATTTTCCCGTTTACTATCAAAGTTTAGCACCTGTCCTCTACAGTAAAAGCTTCGTGAACATATAACGCCAAAACCAGCACAGGTCCAGTCACTAAGAGCCCTGTTTCTAAGCGAAGCACTTCGCTTCTGTATCTGTTACTGACAGTTCAAAATGGCCGCTGTCTGTAAAGCTTGTAGGAGTAAAAGGCTGTGTCTCAAATGGCACCACATCTAGTGCACTAGAAGTCATGAAACGATGGATTCTACAGCCAAATCATGCTTTATGTTGACTAGAAAGCCATTGATATTCGGCTATAAACTTCATGCCACCTGTATTTAACATCTAGTGTACAATTTGGGTGCAGTAGCCATAGTTTCAGGCCACATGTAGTGTACTATATAGGAGGTAGGGAGCTAAGTGAGATTGAGCCAAGGACACAGCGGAACGTTAAAGCACTTCTCCCTTTAATTCTCAGTGATATTCAGATGAAGTACATAAAGTCGCGTTTGGCTTATACTCTTTCAGTCCAGTTAAAAATCATTCATTTCCAACAGACAAGTACAGCATTTTGCCGTCTTGCGGGTTTGTTTCGCCGGGTTGCCAGGTTGCTTGTACAGTTTCCAACCAAAAAAAGTCTACACCCGCCAAAATGTCGGAGGTCAGAATTTCAGCTACAGTACTAAATAATATAATATTTAAACCAGCATTACATCAATAATAAACTGCTGGGTACGTTAACCAATGATTTTGCCTTCGAAAATGTGTAGCTTGTCTGTTTACTAGGGAAGATATCGATGTGGGGTTATTTTGAAGGAAAATAACTCCTAGTTATTCATTTTACTTTGTTAGGTCATTTGTTTTAATTCACAAAGTAAAGTTTATAAAGACAGAGCAATCCTTCCACAGTTTTCCAAAACTTTGTTGTTTTTTTTTTGTTTGCCTCTCGCAGATTAATTAGATTAATACATAAACATTGCTGCAAAAACGTATTTGAGATTTTGAAATGATAAAACACGAATGATACAATTCTGGAGTGTTTCTCCTTCTTTTATTTGATTATATTTAATCATTTGTTTGTTTGCTTGTTTGTTTGTTGTCCTTATAAGTTTCATATCCTGCTGCCTGTTTGTAAAGTTGTGCTGCCCTACTGTGATTTCTGTGATTTAAAAAAGGAACATTTGCTGTATTATTCAGAAATGCAGTTTATTAAGTAACATTAACATTACTGTTTTCTTTTGTGCAAGCCAGCCAAAATGTTCTCCACCTGCCAAAGAACCTTTCCTCCCACTGAATCCTACTAAAAATCTGCGCAATTTGGCGGTAAATTGCACAAACTGGCAACACAAGACAGGAGCGCTAGCGGCTGACATAGCCCAATGCCCCGCCTACTCGAACGTGATTGGTTGGCTAGACATGACAAGAAACGCTTACGAAGCTGCTGCAGTTACATTCACAGACGGCGCTGATCGTAACCCAGTAAAGCAAACAAACGGGGGTGCGCAGATCAGCCTTGGAGAAACTGACCGTTCATCTCCAGCGCGATCTCAATCATGTCTCTGCAAACTAACCACATTACGATGCCATTTTCCCCCCACAGACTCGACCCCAGCACCGCTGCCTCTTCCCAAACCTACTCGCAGTCACAAGTGTCGTGACACGTGGGCGAAAGCGGCTCAGCCCCGGCGGCACCATCATGCTCCGAAAACCAGAAACAGGACGAATCCAAAGGCATTTAGATGAATAAAAACACACCAGAATGGGCTCTAGGCTGCCGATCACTCTGACTCGCCACAAACAGCCGGGGAGTGATCGTCCTACGCTGGCGCATGCGCAGTAGCGCAGCCAGACTGTTCCCCAAGTGTTTGAAACTACCCGGAGGATCTGATCTCCACGCTGGGAACGAGTAATGCGACATAGGGGACGTTCTCACCACAAAACGGACAGCGATCAGCAGCTTTCGCGCCGCTTTCCTCTTCGCCGGGCTCACTGCTTTGAGCCCCTTTAACAAAGCGCGTTTCTTTTTTTGCCTCGTAGTAGTTGTCTGTCGGGTGGTCCCTCAGCAGCAGCGGGTGCCGTACGATCATCTCTACTCGGACATAACAAATGCGTTTTGTTTTGTCGACGAGCGGACTCATCCCGAGCATCTGAAGCACTAGACGACTCGGAGCCGAAATGCTGAACACGGCCAGCTGGGACCCGCTACACGTCGCCAACTATGTGACTGAATATCTGGACTTGGTTGAATCGCTGCCGTTCGACCTACAAAGAAATGTGTCTCTCATGAGGGAAATCGACTCCAAATACCAAGGTAACGGTCGAAGTCTGCTCCTCTAGCCGTGAAAACGGGTTATTTTGTTGAGGAAAGCTCGCTGTGCCTTTTATTTTGAGGGGGTCGAGCTGCGGAGTGGACACAATAGAGCTTACACAGCTTTGCCGCTCCGGTGGAAACGTCCACAACAAATCTGCCCTGATTCACATGGCTGTTTTTTCACGATTCAGTGTTGTTGTTATTGCTGTCGTAGTGCTTTTACTCGTGAATGAGCGAGGCTGAAGTTGGCTCCTCATTCGAATTTTTCCGTTCCACCTTAAATGTAAAGCGCTATTTAAGGTGGAACGGAAAATTCGAACAATTTAGCCAACTTCAGCTTCGTCCTGCCGCCAGCTTTCATTCAGCAAAGGTGTCGTCAGTGATCGTAAGGACACACGGTTTTGAGGAATGGTGGTTTTCTAACGTTACTTGCTTTCTTTTCCACTTTGTTTTCGGTCGTTTTCGGCGTAGTAACGTTACAACGGTGGCTTTTTTTGTTCGCCAGTCTGAAAGAGGTGTGCAGTTGCCATATATGCTCCGGTCGTGTTCATACTTGGAGAACCACTTGACTACGGTCAGTAAACGTTTTAATAAGAAAATCCGTCTCTAAGGTTTGTCTCTGTGTTTATTCCATTGTCACTCTGTTTACACCGACTCGGCGCACTGACCCTTCCCTAAACGGAGTGTTATAAGTAATGTTATTGTGCGGAAACCGGGCCATAACGTCCCACCAAACCGCAGAGATAAAGATAAACCGCTTCTTAAACCCATCAACATGTATTTCCAACGTTTTAAACGAAAGTGCGTCAGCTCGCTCGACACTGTTGGGCAGAAATGGGCAAGAAGCGTACGCTACAGATTTTATTTGCATAGTCGACAGGCTCCTCCTCCGCCGCTCTCTGATTGGCTGGTAGTCCCGACTGCGGGCGGGCAGCCTTTGCGTCAAAAAGCAGCGGTTAGCTTGCGAGTTATCCGTCCCTCTTGACCACGCCCACTCCGGACGCATTAGGGCGCGTTCGTGGACTCTGATTGGTGGCGTCATGCTAAAGTAGGCGGGTCTCTGCTTTGGTTGCTCGGCTGTGATTGGCTTTGTTGATGTTTAGGAAGGCGGGTCTATTGTGTTTATGCTCAGAGTGTTTAAAGCCAAGTTCTTCACTTGAAGTTCAATGTCAAGAGCATAATGCCCAGACACGCAATCCTATACCAAAATAGTATTGAACTCTGATTACTCACCTAAAATTATTACAACCAAAAAAAAACGTTTTTTTCTCTTTTGCAGAGATCCTCAAAGAGTTGGACGAAGCTTACCAGAAGCACAGCCAGGAGGAGGACCCGAACCAGCGGAGGCGCCTGCTTCACTGCATCCAGCGAGCCTTGATCCGAAGCCAGGAGCTGGGCGATGAGAAGATCCAGCTGGCCAGCCAGATGGTGGAGCTGGTGGAGAACCGTAGCCGGCAAGTGGACAGTTTCGCCGAGCTTCTGGAAGCTCACAGTGAGCCCCATGACAATGCAGCAGCTGCTTCCATGACCACCATTGTGCCTGGAAAGAGGCGAGAAGAGGAAAAGCGGAGAGAGGAGGCCCTGGGCTTGGTCGACAGACTTGCAGGGGGTAACAAGCGCTCGAGGCGGCAGAAGGCCAACAGCAACGAGAACCGGGAGAATGCTTCCGCAAGTCACCATGACGAAGTGGTCGGCATCACAGGTAGGGAGAAGAGAGCCAAGACATCAAAGAAGAAGAAGAGGTCCAAAGCCAAGCAAGAGAGAGAGGCATCGCCAGCTGACCTGCCCATTGACCCCAATGAGCCCACCTACTGCCTCTGTGAGCAGGTGTCATATGGGGAGATGATAGGTTGCGACAATGACGAATGTCCGATCGAGTGGTTCCACTTCTCCTGTGTTGGGCTTAATCACAAGCCCAAGGGCAAGTGGTATTGCCCCAAATGCAGGGGGGACACAGAGAAAACCATGGACAAAGCCTTGGAGAAATCCAAAAAGGAGAGGGGCTATAACAGGTAGCTAAATACCTGTTGAACTGCACAGCCATGTTAATATTTCTATTTATTTGATATGTATATACACATTTGTTTAATGCTAGAAGTATTTACTTCATTGTTTTACATGTCAGTTTGTCACTTCAGTATGAAGTGTTATGTGAGTTTTATCACCTAGCAAAGTAGCACTAAAGGGCTTTAATTCAGCCTTTTGAGTTGAAGGGTACAGTATGTGCCAGTGACGCTCTCAATGAAGTATTTCATTTGAATGTGAATGTTGATTTTGTGAGTTTGTCTATCTGTTGTTACATGAGCAGTATGGTTGACAGGAGTATTGTTTTGTGAAGGCACTCGCAGCATGTGGTTATCGTGTTCAATGTTTGAGTGGAGATGTTCTCATTGGTAATAAAACGAGTATGGAATCCGTTCTTGTAATGCTTTGGTCAGGCTGCTCACTGTAAGCCTTCTACTTTTTAAAAGTATAAATACAGTCTGTGTGCTATACCGATATTTTAGGTCACTATTGAATGTCTGCTTGCTATTATTCAGAGGATAAAGAAAACTAGCGCTAAAAAGCAATTTCACTAGAAAGAAAAAAAATCAGGACCCCCAGAAAACACTAATCAAACTACACAAATACTGTACATGAACTTCAAAGTGTATTTTTTACAATATGATACATGAGAGGCAAGTTGACAAACACATCATGGAATATAAAACCACACTTCCAGGCATGTAACAGCACACAATACAGCATAATTTGTGGGAGTTGCTTGTAGGTCAGTTCCAAACCAGGCACAGACAAATGCAACGATGGCAGGCCAGTACCATGTCAGTCCAGAGGAGTTTAACTCCACTTCTTAAAAAAAAGGCCCTTGCATATGTTTCTACGGTAACAGGCCAACATCGTATTTGGTTACTTCTTGGACAGAAAGTGGCCAGGTGGTCAAGGCTGAATAGGACAGAGCAAGTACTCCAAAGTGGGGGGATGGGTGGGGTAAAGTGCATTTGAGCTGTATGTTGGAGGGAGGGAGTGAGAAAGAGAAAGAGAGAGAGATAGAGAGAAAGAAGAAGAAAGATGAGAAGGAAAGGGTGCAACGAGATGCTTCACAATTCACTCGGTTAAACTAGCATCGCACAAAGTTCTGCATTCTTCGGTGAGAGGTCAACTGTCCCTCCAGCTCTGCTCAACGATGGCTGAAACACGCTTCTCATACTCCCGTTTGTTCTCCTGGTAGAGCTGGGCCGCCTGGCTATTGGCTGGACTGTTTGGGTTTGGTTCATCAAGCAATGACTGAACAGAAGCAAAGAAATAATGATAATCATAATAATAAAAAGTTATAATAAAAATGATCTTTGCAGTAAAAAAAGGCATCCTTGCCAGAAAACTTT